GCGGTAGCATAATTGGTCAGTGCATTCGCCCGGATTGCGAAGGGTGCGGGTTCGAGTCCCGTCTGCTGCCTGGTCCGCGTGGATTTTTTTCTAGTTATATTTTCTTTAGATTTAAACATCAAGCAGTTACATGCTTTAAAAATAATAAAAATTATAACTATAATTGCTATTTCTTCTTTCAAATGTTTAATACTTGTAAAAGTATTCATTTGACATTGTGGGTTTACCTATAATGCGAAGAGATGGCGCTGCCTTGCAGCATAAGAATAGCTAGAAAGAATTTCGACGCGGTCCGTGAGGGCCGCGGTAGCATAATTGGTCAGTGCATTCGCCCGGATTGCGAAGGGTGCGGGTTCGAGTCCCGTCTGCTGCCTGGTCCGCGTGGATTTTTTTCTAGTTATATTTTCTTTAGATTTAAACATCAAGCAGTTACATGCTTTAAAAATAATAAAAATTATAACTATAATTGCTATTTCTTCTTTCAAATGTTTAATACTTGTAAAAGTATTCATTTGACATTGTGGGTTTACCTATAATGCGAAGAGATGGCGCTGCCTTGCAGCATAAGAATAGCTAGAAAGAATTTCGACGCGGTCCGTGAGGGCCGCGGTAGCATAATTGGTCAGTGCATTCGCCCGGATTGCGAAGGGTGCGGGTTCGAGTCCCGTCTGCTGCCTGGTCCGCGTGGATTTTTTTCTAGTTATATTTTCTTTAGATTTAAACATCAAGCAGTTACATGCTTTAAAAATAATAAAAATTATAATTTATTAACCATTTAAAACCTTTTTCCAAAAAGGGTCAACTAGCCTATTGCTTATTATTCAGTGATTTTGACTTATTTTAGTAGTTCATTGTTGTTCTTCATAATTTTTGAAATATGGAAACTTAAAATAAGTTTGTTATTTTACTGCATGACAAATTATGAATCCATATTATAAAGTGAATACTTGCCCACTCTGTGGTACTTAAGGATTCTAGATTTGGAGTGTTTATTATGTGACCAAAAATCTTCTATCTCGAGTTCCTTAGTGCTTCGGAAGGCACGTTAAGCCGTTGGTCCCGGCTGCATCTGCAGTCGTTAGCACCCGTCAATCCGCACTGGGCCTGCGTGGTGGGCCATGGCCCAATCTCCCTGTTTCATCTATAGGGAAGGCCTGTGCCCCACCAATGGGGATATTAATAGGCTGATGATGATTAGTTAACTCTGCTACCGCCTACACGGTCTAATGTGAATCATCCTTGAAAATTTCTCGCATCGTAAATTCTCAATCCAGCGCATCTATCTATTACCTACTCGTAGGTACCTACCTACGTTTATAAATTTCGGTTTCGGTAAGAGGTTGTAATTATCCCCTCGGCTGTTTTGTGAAGATTTTATTCTCATTTATTGTATAATCCGAGATGCGTAACCTATTTTTATCTTTTTTGTTTCTATCAGTTTTTGGCGAGATCGTTCCAAATCCCAATTATTCATTTGGTGAAGAGGCCAAGTTTCGGATCTATAAAAACAAACTTTTCAATTACAAACAGTAGGTACTTATTTCGTGTTTGGTTATTTTAAGAAATATGATTAGCTTATAAAAAGTTGGAAGTAAAAACATTTCATATTCAACAAATATTAAAAACTGCTTCATAGAAACAAAACCACCTATAGAATTAGTACATAGATTTCTTATCTTTTTAGCTTGTTTTTATATGAAGTGGATTTTTATTTATGTTATAAAAGATTTTACCTTAAATTATTTAGTATTTTGTACAAGATATACGTGTACATTACCTACGAAAGACCACAATAGCGCAAGTGTAACGCTTTCGTTCTGCGATCGTGAATGTTAAGCAATTTTCACAATGGCCGAGCTTAGGATGGGTGATCAACCCAATATGTATTTATAATATCGAATTCCTATGTTGCTGCTCGCTGCATGCTGCATCTGCAGTCGTTAGCCCTCACTAAGCCGCATTAGGCCATGACACATTAATATGCTTTTAATAAATCCGCATCGAAACATAGACTTAATTATCATTTTAAAAAAAAATAAAAGATCTAGCTAATATATTATTATCTCCGTCGTCGTTCATTATTGTATAAAATTTGTCTTTTTTAACGAAATAAACCCATGTCCAACCTTAACATCAAGTTCAAAACAGCAATCATTTACGTGATATTTGGCCTCAATAGGCTAGTTGACCCTTTTTGGAAAAAGGTTTTAAATGGTTAATAAATGTTCTATTAGACCGAAAAAAAATGTATTGTATTTTTTTTAAACCTAGAAAGCTACAAATCTTTAATTTTAAAATAGAGCTGAAGCTAGCTTAAGAATAGCTAGAAGGAATTTCGACGCGGTCCGTGAGGGCCGCGGTAGCATAATTGGTCAGTGCATTCGCCCGGATTGCGAAGGGTGCGGGTTCGAGTCCCGTCTGCTGCCTGGTCCGCGTGGAATTTTTTCTAGTTATATTTTCTTTAGATTTAAACATCAAGCAGTTACATGCTTTAAAAATAATAAAAATTATAATTTTAAAATAGACTTTTCATGGACATACAAAAATGCTGTCGGCCATTTTAGTCTATAGATTGTCTATGCTATGACGTGAACTGTGGTAAACAAAAACTCGTAAACACGTAGAAAATTACTTTTAACTGAGTTTATAACAAAAAAAAACATGATTTCTAATAAATACCACGAAAAATAAAGTAATTATCATTACTGTATTGTACGAGAATATAAAAACACATCCTTGAAGACTCCAGGAAAGTTGTGGATTAAAGTGCGGAAAGAAATTAACCTACGCAACTTTATTACACTTATTCATATGTTGTATCAGTTTTATGTTTATTACTACATTGTAATACTAAATGCACGGTACTAACATAGATGCCTTGTCGTTTCTTTGCTCCGCAGAGCAGAAATCGGGGTTTAGTGCAACAAATTCACCAACCATCAATGCGTCAATTCTTGGCAGATTTGTGCTTTCTGCTTTCACAAAGCCGGCATCCATAATTTGTTTAGTCAAAAAAAACTAAGTTTACTGTTTTTTTCTTTCCTAAAGTTAAAAGTGTTTTAAGATAAATTTAGTCAGACGAAAGAATCCACCTACAGTAACACGCGAATGACATTTAGTTGTTTACCACAAGAGACGTCAAAATCATGGCGAATGTGGCGAACAGCGTTTTTAGTGTTTAAAAAATATAGACTAAAAAATATTTTTTAAAATTAAATTTCTACAGCAATCTTCTGCTTTTATGAAGTGAAATCGATATATTAAGGTTCCTTAGACTAAACACTTTAAGAAATAAACATTTATTTAATACAATTCGACATGAGTAAACTAGCCTATTATTCACATTTAAATTTAGAAAGGACCTCCGTAGGTCCTTCTTAAATTTAGTGTGACATTTCTAATTTTAGAGAAAATATGACATTTAGAACGCGTTTCAGAATACCATTTAATCATCTAAATCTAAGTTGAATAACTTAGCGACGTCAATTTTAAATTTAGAGATAGTGTGTCATTACAGAATACGAAATTGAATTTGACAACTCCATATCTAATTTTAGTTAGTTTTAGATATAATTTGGAACGCCAGAATTGGGCCCAGTATTGTAGTAACCCTTTACTAAGGCCATCACTAATCTATGTTTAGCTCAGTGTTACCATTTACACGGCAATTTCCGTCTTAGGGTGCGGCCAGAGTGCACTCAGATTCAGATTCAGATTTCGAAAACAAGCGCGAGAAATAAACAGTGTAGTCTAAGCAGGTTGCCTGCTTTTTCTCGCGCTTTGTTTTCTGAGTCTGAATCTGAATCTGAATCAGGAGTGCACTCTGGCCGTACCCTTCGACTACACTGTTTATTTCTCGCGCTTGTTTTCGAAATCTGAATCTGAATCTGAGTGCACTCTGGCCGCACCCTTACACGGCAATTTGGGTCTTTTCAGCAATAAAACACAATACATGGCAATATTTTCATTACCGTGTTCTAAAACGCGGCAATCCAATAGTTACACTTTTTTTCCTAAAGAGTTCCAGATTGGAAGTACTTATTGCAAATAAAGACGTATAACTTTTGGCCAAAAGTTTTAACGCATCCTGAAGTGTTTTGTGTAAAAATTGCCGGTTACAGAAGACCATAGTAAAATAACGCTACCTTTTGGTATCTAGTACGCCATCGTGCCAATAAACTAATTCGACTGCAAAAACGTCCGTACTATAAATACGCTCTCTGGGCGTCGATTGAGCTCCCTCATTGTCTACAAGCTATTTCACTTCCCGATCGTCAAGGCGTAAAGGAGTAAGGAAGATCGGATCGGGCCGATTGCCCTAGATTGGGTCCCTTAATCCCTAACCTATATTACACCCATAGATAAGAATAGGGTGGGGAAGGCGGCTCTAAAAGTTTCCGTCTAGTAGAAAGAGAAAGAAGATGATAGACGGCTAGCCTTTCTCTCTCTTATCGCGAATGCGCATTGGATGAAAAACCTACGGAAGAATAACAACCAATCTCACGAATGCTCAGCAATACCGACCAATCACACGACTGCGCAGCGTCACAAGAGAGAGAGAGAGATAGCTAGCCGTCTCTCATCTTCTTTCTCTTTCTATTAGACGAACACTTCCACTTGTAGTAGTGTACATATCTCCCCTACTCTATTCTTATACCTCTATGATTACACCACTCTTATTATAGTCAGGGTAAGGTTCCCTTCAAATTGGGTAGTCTTATACCTGCCATACACACTATGAGAAATCGTTACGATCAGACTGTACAGTTCGAACGGTACAGTTTATACGATTTCGTTTAGTATAGGAAACTGCAGTTTTATAACATACACGCTACGATTTATCGGTACCGTTCGGACTGTACAGTCTAATCGTAACGATTTCTCGTAGTGTGTATGGCCGGTATAATAGGCGCATTCAGACTGCCCACCGTTTCGATAGGGCCCTTAAAATTGGGTAGAGTGATAGGCGCAGTCTCTTTTTTAGTCTGTGTAACAGATCTCTAACTAGTCTGTGCGTAACTGCCAATTGTTTTGAATTACAATTACAGTTTACCGGGATGTTGTGATAGAAATAAAATTAATTACGTTTATCCAGGGTAACAATTTGTGCTTTAATTGATGAGGTAATTAATACAATTACAATAATACCAGAATGGACGTGTTTGCTTTAATGGGCGACAACAAAGAGGAAAAAGAAAAACATATAGGCAGAATTGATGACTGTAAGTAGGATTTTTGGTTTTTGTTGTTGTTAATTGAACTTTCTTTAAATATTAGTTTATTGCGAATATAGAAAAACATTTACGCGCCATCCAGAATTTAAGCACTATGCTGAGGCAGGGACCTAGTTGGCCTTTTTTTCTGTTATTGCTTTTGTTTTGTGTTAATATTTGAGGCTAATAAAATTCTTTATTTTTTTATTTCTTTCATCATCGATTAAAGAAACTTACCGAAATTCAATGTTTTACTTCAGGTGATGCTGATGTTCGTAAGACAGCACAGGAAATGGATTTAATAAGACAAAGAACTATTGCATACGAGTATTTGTGTCGTTTGGAAGAGGCTAAGTTATGGATGGAAGCTTGCTTGAAAGAAACATTACCTCTTGCTACCGAGTTTGAGGAGAGCTTGCGCAACGGTGTTTATTTAGCAAAACTTGGGCACTTTATTGCTCCTGATTCTTTGCCCATAAATAAAATATATGATCTTGACTTGAGACGTTATAAGTTAAGTAAATAATACACTGTTTATTTGAAGGTCCAAGTAAAATTCATACAAATGGCAATTCCTACTTTGGTAGAAATATAATGAACTAGCTAGGTATATGTTATTGTGCCTGGTTCACAATTAGAATTTTTGATCTTCATATTTAATTAAATTAGTTTAAAATTATGTGCCGGTCGTTTGCTTGCTGGTCTTCAAATACAAGGTCTAGATGCGCTATCTAGTTATAGACGCGCCAACACGGCAGCCGTGTTGCATCCGAATTACTGTATGCATCTAATGCCCAATGCAATCACCGTTAATTGGCTTTTTGCCATTTATTATGATTGCCATAGCTCATTTAAATCAATTTAAATGTTTAAACATCATTTTTCTGTGGGACAAATGGATAATAAATTCCATTTATATTTTTAATAAATTTAGCATATTTTTCTGTTTGATAATACTAGATAATACTAGAGGTACAAGATTAAGCAGAGTTCTATGGAGAAATGAACAGATTCTTTTTTGAGTTTTAAGGATTTGTTAATGAAGTAATTTTCCAGTTGTGTGAATCGGTAAAAAATATATCAGAATATCTTCATTTTATAAACAAGAATGGTAATTTAATTCAAAAGTGGGATTAGTAGGATAATATCTGTCATACAGAGGACACTGCTGAGTATAGATTTGCCTATTGCTCTTATTTGCATCCAATGGTTTTCTGCAACCTTTACTATAAATTGTCAGTCCACCTCATACCTACTAACTAAGTATCGCTAACATAACGGTGTTTTGTAAAGATACAAGACCTTTACACATTGACATACCTGTAGTCTACTTGGTAGTTTGGTTACCTTTGGAGAGACTAGCACAGTCTCTCAGGGCTTTCTCAAAGTCCATGAACGTCAGGCAAAGTGGCAGATTTTAGTCTGGTATACTCTGGTGCATGGGCACCGGCAGGAGGAGCAAGGGGGTACGCTTGTCAGGAAAGAAAGTACATACAAAAATTACATAGTTTTTACACAACTACGCCAGCGACATGTTAAGACCATGGAAATAAAATATATATTAAAGTATGAGCAATAGGGAAGATGCAATATTTTTATTTTTGTTTTCATTTTAAAGAATTCCATGTAGAATAAACCACAGATATATCAAAAAATTAAAACATTGTGATTTATCGGAAAAAATGCGGTTTTAAATTGACAATTTAAATTTTCGCGCGAAAACGAACCTATGGTTGCGATGACGTCACTCCTGTCTGTCACTGGTCGTAATTGTTAGTTGCTGGCTTTAAATTTTCATACTTTTGCATATTTTTTCGACTTACGAAATATTTTTTTGAAAAATTTATAATGGACTATCCATCAACATCATGTGATCATAACAATACCACTAATATTCCGAAAAAAAGCCGTGTTGACTCATGTTTTGTGCCAATCTATTTCAACAAAGTTCCCAAATAAATGGTTTTTGTCTGGAAATTCTGACCCAAAACTGAAAAAAGTGGTTTCAAGCTGGGAAGAGAAATGACAATTATTCTCCAAAGACCATTATTCGATGCTGACAAGATCGCTTTGACGTAAGTCGGCAAATATACTTGTTATATGCTTAATTAATCTGCTTGTACGTAAAAACGCATTAGTAACCTATCTAATACTTACAAAACCTGTCTATAACATATTTTTAATTTTACAGTTGGAGAATGACGTCGTAAATAAGATAAAGTTTAAAATGTGTGGCACAATCTTCACATTGGCAGGACTGAACCAAGCTTTGCGTTTCATTTAAAATAACTGTAACACGATAACCTTCTTTACGTACTTTATGCTCCGGAGAAGTCAACCTTTTACTGTACATAATTTTCCATCTCTTTTAATTTGGACATAGCCGATTGCATTATCGCTGTAAGATTTGTAGAAGCCGCTGAATAAAATACAAAGTTTAACAACTACGATTTTTACATACCGTAGTAATTTAGTCCCTTTCATTTCTACACTTAAAAACTCTGCACTTTGGTCAAAAAAAGTTATAATCATGTCAACGCTAACTCTTGGTAAATTCCTGGAGTCTGCTTTGATAAACGCAACTTCCATTTTTATTAAATGTAAAAAAACGCAATAAATATTCCCATAAAATAATATTTACTTTAACAACCATAACCTCAAAGAAGTTGTCATAACAGGAGTGACGTCACTAAACGCTTATTGGTGTTTTAAAATACGTTCCGTTTCAAGTATTTTTAATTCGTAATAATTGTTAAAAAACAACATTATGTAAAATAAAAACGTTGCAGTGGTATTTCTTTTATATTTTTTTAACATTTTAATCATAAAACTTTCATAAATATTATATATGCATCTTCCCTATTATATATTAAAATACCTACCTTACCTAGCCATAAGTTCTGTTATAAATGAAAATGCATTTTTTATAAAATGAAGTAATGTAATATTATTAAACTTTATACCTTCATATTTATTAATGTCTCAGCAAAAATAAAAAATATTATATTCGAAACTAGCGGCCGCCTGCGACTATGTATGAGTGGAGTTAGTTAGAAAGTAAAGGTTCCCCATAGGTGATAGCGTGATGATATGTAGCTTATATGTTGACCCGACTTCTTAATAATATGCGTGCCAAATTTGAAGTAAATCCATGAGTACTTTTTGAGTTTATCCTGGACATACATACAGACAAACAGACAAAAATTCTAAAAACTGTATTTTTGAGCTGTGTGAACCTAGCACCCGACTTTGGAAAATCAATTTTTTTCTTAACAATTCTTGAAGACATAATTTCGTTTGTAGTTGCTTCAAAACAAAGTTATGGGACTTCGAAAAATCGTTAGCTCCCCGATTCGCCCAAACTCAAATTTTTTGATTGATTCATATCGAGAATCGTTTGTAGTTGATTGTAGTGAATGAATTTTCGTTTTTAGTTGCTTCAAAAAAAAGTTATGGAACTTTGAAGAATAAGTATCACCTCGTTTCAACCGTACCCAAATCTATACTTATAATAAATCTGTAGAGAGGTCAATTCTGTACATGAAATATATTTTCAAAATAACTATCAGGGGGTGATAAGTGATCGATACTGATGCCAAAAATGCAATCAGTAAAATTTTTGTCTGTCTGTCTGTCTGTCTGTGTGTTTGTTCCTTATAGAAACAAAAACTACTCGACGGATTTTAACGAAACTTGGTACAATTATTCTTCATACTCCTGGGCAGGTTATAGTATACTTTTCATTACGCTACAATCAATAGGAGCAGAGTAATGAAGGGAAATGTTGGGAAAACGGGAGAAGTTACTCCATTTTTTAAGCTTCCGTCGCGTGTGCAGCCTTAATGGTTAAAGTTACATAGAAATCATGTATGACGGAAATATTCTACATAAAATTTTCTAGAAAATATCCCGCAACAGCGTATGTCTATCTTTTATGGTTGACTCACAATAACACGTGTAACTCCTGATAGCTTAGCAGTTCGGAGCATTCTGATTATATTTGTTTCCTCTTACGTTTATAATACTCTCACTCATCCATAATTTAAAAAAGTTAACATTATTACCTATTCAATAAAAAAAGAATCATAGAAATCGGTATAGAAACACCGAACTTAAACATGAAATAAGCCATCGCGCCGTCGCACGTGAATACTGAATCATGCTTTAAGGATTATTTTTGTGTAACGGCTGCCGCGCTCGACACGGGTCGTGGCGGCGCGGTAGGGTATAAAAAGGCGGGAGGTTCGAAAGCGAGCTTCCCCGCCCACCCGATCCTGAGAGACCTTCAGTCGCTCAGTCCCAAACCGATACGGATGCACATCAGGATGCATCCGTCCTCTAAGCGCACTATGCAGTAGTATTTACTAAGGCAGCGCTGCATCATCCCCTTCTCAGGGGTTGATCGCATCAGATGAAGCCTGTAAGGGCATAGGCACCCCCCACGGGTGTGTTTTAGTCAGTAAGAGTCTGACATAACTCTACAGCCGGCTGTAGGGTATCCATGAGGATTTCACACCCGCTCCCCCGCCTGGGAGGAAACAAAAAAAAGAGAAAGCGAGCTTCATTCAATATTTGGCTGTTGCTGCGTTCAGAGCGTTCGACCTTATTGACAGACAATAATTGATATTGAGAAACCGTGCTTATCTTCTATACTTATAATAAATCTGTAGAGAGGTCAATTCTGTACATGAAATATATTTTCAAAATAACTATCAGGGGGTGATAAGTGATCGATACTGATGCCAAAAATGCAATCAGTAAAATTTTTGTCTGTCTGTCTGTCTGTCTGTGTGTTTGTTCCTTATAGAAACAAAAACTACTCGACGGATTTTAACGAAACTTGGTACAATTATTCTTCATACTCCTGGGCAGGTTATAGTATACTTTTCATTACGCTACAATCAATAGGAGCAGAGTAGTGAAGGGAAATGTTGGGAAAACGGGAGAAGTTACTCCATTTTTTAAGCTTCCGTCGCGTGTGCAGCCTTAATGGTTAAAGTTACATAGAAATCATGTATGACGGAAATATTCTACATAAAATTTTCTAGAAAATATCCCGCAACAGCGTATGTCTATCTTTTATGGTTGACTCACAATAACACGTGTAACTCCTGATAGCTTAGCAGTTCGGAGCATTCTGATTATATTTGTTTACTCTTACGTTTATAATACTCTCACTCATCCATAATTTAAAAAAGTTAACATTATTACCTATTCAATAAAAAAAGAATCATAGAAATCGGTATAGAAACACCGAACTTAAACATGAAATAAGCCATCGCGCCGTCGCACGTGAATACTGAATCATGCTTTAAGGATTATTTTTGTGTAACGGCTGCCGCGCTCGACACGGGTCGTGGCGGCGCGGTAGGGTATAAAAAGGCGGGAGGTTCGAAAGCGAGCTTCCCCGCCCACCCGATCCTGAGAGACCTTCAGTCGCTCAGTCCCAAACCGATACGGATGCACATCAGGATGCATCCGTCCTCTAAGCGCACTATGCAGTAGTATTTACTA